GTGTGTGTGTGATTGTAGGTCTGGCTCCTAAGCTGGGTCTAAGCTTAGTTGAGCTCTTGAGACTTCTCTGTATGGGTGAACTTGACCTTGTGTGTCCTGAAACCAAGGTCACCTGAGCGCCGGCAAAAAGCTTGTGATTGGACCTCGAGTTCACAAATGATTATTTCCAATGCAGAGAATGAACCGCGCTCCACATTTGAGCTTTTTGTTCAGTGAGTTTGTTTAATGTCATGTGTTGCTCCTACATACAGTATAATGCTTCCTGGGAAGGGAGATGTAATCAGCAGGCAGACGTAACAACTGTATTTAAGTAGATTCAGTTATCTATACTTCAGTATTCATTATTCTGATCATGCATACATCAGACGTAACGAGGTGACGAAATGAGAGGGAGACTCAACGCTGTCTGCAGTTTCAGTCAGCTTTGCACAGAACCTGTACTTTTACTGGAATATAAACTGTAAATGTATTAGTGTATGCGTTACATATGTATATATATATATATATATGTATAGTAGGTGGTGTGTTAACCTGTCCAACCATTCGACCCCTACCTGGATCTATAATCATTAAATTATTGAGGATTATTCAGGTTTGATGGAGCTTTTCTGTTTTAACCGGTGCAGTTTTTCTAGCCTTTACGGCACTGGTTCCCAGGAATCTCACAGACAATACAATGCCACTCAGCCAATCAAGTCTGTGCATCCTGATTACGACTCCAGTCAAAAAGGGATAAGTTAGAGAAAATGTCCTCAATTAAATTGTTGGAAACATCATAATGTCAAAGCTGAGTGACTTACAAAGAGAAAACAATCAAAAACACTATAATAAACAGCATCAAGAAGAAGATAAAATACATGTTACTAGAATTTGTAAATCTGAGTGATAGCTGCTGGAAGATATTTTTATACCATTTGCTCTACATCTTGGGACTATAAACCTCCGCCTGTATTTGTGTGTACATGTCTTCTCAACTCTAGGGTGCTCCCACTGGGCCAACCCCACCCCCCCATTAAAAGCCTGTAGTTACTCTCTCCATCCTGCATTCACTCACACATCCAGTAGCACCAGGTGCTCCCAGTCTGTGCTGCCGAACAGCCAAAGTGTTCTCCAGAACGACCCCACCATTAATGTGCAGAAACACTTGACTCCTTTGAGCTGTGGACTGTAAACAATAACCAAACTAAAGTTCATTTTGTTAAAGAACCTATTTAAAATGTGAGCGCAGTATCTGATCTGATCTTTTTTGGCATAAAGACATAAAATGAAAGCGTTACAATCCCTCTACAGTTCTATTCTACTGTCATTTTCTGGGTTATGAATTGAAATACAAGATAAAAGTTACCCTGTGCCTACCGTTGTACAGACTCTGGTGGTGGGGGGCCATCTCCTCTCCTGTTGCCCTCCTCTGACCCCCGTCCCTCCCAGGGGAGCCACCGCTGTACCTCCCCTTGCCGTGCTCCACCCCGGGACTGTGCTGATAGTGATGGTGGCGGCGTAAAGACTCTGGACTACCCACAATCACCCTCCCTTGCCTCAGGTGCTCTGGCGTCCCCATCGCTGCCTGCTTGGCCTCAGGACTCCCACAACCTGCCCCCGCCACATGGACCGGCCTGTGTCTCTGACTCAGCTCAGGGCTGGACTTGGCTGAGCCCTTCCCGCAGCCTGGTGACGCCTGCCCTGACATCAATAGCTGTTTCTGGGCTAGTAGGTCAGAGCTGCAGGGTTTGGGGTGGGAGTCACATGGTAGCCTGGTGGGAGATCTGCTGTGTTTCTCTGGGCTGTGTCCCCGAAGGCCACGAGGGTCCAGGTTGGTGAGGGACCCCCCACGGGGGCGGCAGGACTGGGGGAAGGTGTGGTACTCTGGGGTGGAGCTGTGCCTTCTGCCTGTGGATTCACACACATCTCCCGGTCTGGACCCGGATCCAGGGCTGGCATTGGAGCCGAGAGGAGGGGGTTTGAGGTGGGGGTTATCGGGACTATCTGTACTCCCCGCGCTGGAGGTGCTGCTCCCATCGCCGACGTCCCGCAGTAGGCCAGGTGCTGGGACGCTTCCACCCAGCTGGGACAAGCTGCTCTGGCTGTCGATGGAGCTCCTGCGGCCGGGGCCTCCCTGCCCGCCTCCCCCTCCTCCCCCTCC